TCGCACATGAATCCATAAGTCAGGAGAGTGCTGATCAAGCCCTGTCTCACTTGTCAGCATGCTACCCAGGATTCACACACGTTGTCGGAAGTTCAAAGCTTAGCCCTTGGCCCTCGCCAGAGCCTACCAGGACACCCGTTTCTCTCCATTCAACAATGCTCACGAAGAGGGTAATATAGAGAAGATCGCTTACCATCACAGCAAGAAACCCAAAGCAACCTCTCCATCCCCAAGCCTGGGCAATCGCGCCCCCGAGGGCCGACCCAATCGCAGGACTGCAAACACTCCCAAACGCCATAACCGACATGGCGCGCGCACGCTTCTCCTTGGTCATGACATCCGTCGCTGTCCCAGTGCCCTGGGTAATCGGGCTCGCGCCGGCACATCCCGCCAGAAATCGGAAGACAATGAGCCACTCGGCCGACGGCGCGACCATGCAGGCCAAGTTGCACGCGAGCAGGACCACATTGCAGACCTGATAGACGGGCTTCTTGCCAAACGTCTCGCTCAGCGGCGCGAGGAGCAGCGGTCCGGCGGAGAAGCCGAGGACGTAGGCCGAGACTGTCAGGTCCGCTAGCGTGGGGTTGTCCTCGATCTTGAAGTCGCCAATCACCTGGTCCAACGCGGGGGTATAGACTGCAGAAGCCAAGGGTCTGGAGTGGGAGAAAAAGCGCCGTTGTCGTTAGCGTTTTTGGTCTTAGTTTTCTTCGCGGTAGCAGCGGCGCGGAAAGCTTCTTCCCAAGAAAATGCGCCGCTGCATGTCAACCATGCGGGCAGGGTAGGTTCGCCACTTACGTGACGCAGGTGATGAACGCTACCACCAAGACGTGCGTCCACTTCTTCCTAGACGACCACAAGACCGGGTCGAAGGGTTCACGCTTTTCCAGTTGGGACGTCTTTGGCGCGAGGCGTTGATCGGCAGTTGCTTCCGCATCCACATCCTCGTTCTCTTCCGTTAAGAAGCAGGTGACTTCCTCTGGGGTTTTGTCGTCCGAAGACCGCCATTCTGAACTCTCGACGGCTTGTTCTTCGGCAGGTTGCGAGCCTTGCACGGCGCCGAGCTGGTTTGATGGCATACTTTCTTTGCGTTGTTGGGCAGGGCGTTCGGACGTGACGTAGAGCCCCGTCAATGTCGCAAGAGTTTGCTGATCTTTTTCCTTTTGACAATCGGCGATGGTTTGGCCGGGAAAGTATGGAAACTGGGTTCGGCCAGAATCTTGTATACGGCAGACTCAGGCAGGAGAAACACGATACGTTGTCACCGCTGCTCACTGCTTGGTCTTCTCTATGCCGAATGTGAGAACATCGAAAAGGGGGATGGCAAGTAGGGAAAATCCCATCTCGCAGAGAGTCCGAACGACGTCCGGACTGTTCGGCTTCATGGAGGACCCTTGGCGTTGAGAGGCGTATCAGATTGGCCCCTCAGTGTTGCGTACGAACTTTAAATTCTAGCTTGTAAAGTGGTCTCATTATAGCAGCGTAGCATTGCATAAGTCGACCAAACATTGCGTCTGGTGCTTCACATGTCGAGTACAAATCTGGAGACCATGTCCTGGCCATCGTGTAACCGTCGAGGTGCGCGATGTCCCGCCGCCTCAACAGTAAGGGTTGTATAGCGCGCATTCATACTTTGGCTGACTACGCCGTACAGACTTTTTACTCGACTTGGATCTCTCGATCATGAAAGGAAACGTTAAACCGACCCCTCAGAAACGGCGGGTTTCTATCAGACGACGAGAGCAACCCTAATGCGGGGGATAGGAAACGGTGAGGCGGCAGTTGTAGTTGAGGTTCAGAAATCAAAACAATAAAGATGACACGATCTTCCACTACAAGAGGAAAGAAGTTGGCTTATGCGTACTCACCACCAAACCAGCTCAACACTCTCTTCGTACGACGTTGCGACAACCTCAGAAGAGGTTCCGGGTGGAGATCGGCCTCCTTCCTAAAACGGAAACAAAAGTGATCCACTTCAGATATAGTGCTGGCCCGGGCTCTCCCCTCGGACTCTTGCCAAAGATGGACGCCCCAGAGAAGGTGCCAGACTCGGCTGAGCCGCCTGTTGGGGATGTGGACGTGGAAAAGAATTATGAAAAGAGAAACGATGGTAACAACGTCACGAGTACGCCAAAGTTGGACGAGATGCGGCCTAGATTCTTTGACGGGACGGCTACTCTCACCGTGGGAGGCCAAGTGGTTCTCATTCCCACGCCGAGCGCGGACCCCAGAGGTATGGTGATGATCTGCTTCTCTGATGTTAGTCTCAATCACTCGACTTACAACAAATGTAGACCCTCTCAATCTACCAAAATGGCACAAACAGCTCATCATAGGCATCATCGTCCTGTGTAAGTCACCGTGAACTTCAGAGGGAAATGACTTGACTCACACGAGATGCGTGTAGACGCAATATCCGGTCTGTGCCTCATCACCGCACTATCCGCACTCATTGTGTTCATCATGCCCGACTACCAACGTGATGGAATCACACCGGATCAGATCTCAAATCTCTTCACATTTCCAAACCTCTTCCTCGGTCTCGGAAATCTGGTGTCGATGCCGATCGCCGTAGCTATAGGCCGTCGCCCCGTCATCCTAGCATCCAACGTGCTACTCTTCCTGGCCGCTGTCCTCTGCGCAACGAACCGCAACTATTACTGGCACTTAGGCGGGCGTATGGTTGCAGCGTTTGCTGCAGCTCAGTGCCAGGCATTGGCTCTTCTTATCCTACAGGTATGAGCTCTTTGGACCGCGAGTCTGGTGTGAGATGTTCTGACTCTGGTTTACTTCAGGATATTTACTTTCTCCATCAAAGAGCACGCGTATTTCAGATCTATGCCTCCGCTGAAGTCCTTCTCAACTCCAGTCTCGTAATCGCATCTTCGTACATGGCCGATGCTCTGGGCTGGAGATCTTGGTACTGGCTCTTCGCAGGCCTCTCTGGCCTAGCCATGGTTCTCACCTTCTTCTTCGTCCCCGAAACCGCATATGACCGGCCCATCGAGGCGTTCATGGGAAGCCACCCGACCGACAGAAGCAACCTCTTACCAGCAGTACAAAACACCGGTCCTGGCACCATTACCAGAAGCCGCTCTCCCGGGCCAAAGTACGCAACCGTAGACGAGAGCCCCGCCGCCGACCTAGAACACTTCAAAGAACGCACCTTCACCTCGAACCTGCGCGTCTTCGTGCACAAGCCCACCTGGCCCCGATGTTGGCTCTGCCTGAAACAAATAGGCCAGGTCTTTCTATTCCCCCACGTCCTCTGGGTCGCCATAAACAACGGGCTCTTCCAAGGCATCGACGTCTCGATCCAGATGACGTACGCAGAAGTCCTCGTCAAACCCCCCTACAACTGGGCCAACACATCGGTATCCCTCATCCAGCTGGGCCAAGTCCTTATCGCAGTCCTCTGCGTGCCCCTCATCGGCTGGCTGAGCGACTACGTCATCCGCTCCTCGGCGCGTCGCAACCACGGCGTCCACGAGCCGGAGAAGCGACTCATCGCCTGGATCCTGCCCATGGTGACGGCTCTGATCCTCACCGTACTGTACGGGTACGTGCTCAAGAACCCGGAGCGGTATCACTGGATGGCCATCGTCTCCGTCGTCGACGGCTACCTCATCGTGCTGATGGGCGTCAGCACGGTCGGGACGGCGTATCTCATCGATAGCCATCCGAGCTTCGCGGGCGCTATTCTCGTCGCGCTGCCGGTGACGCGTGGGTTAGTGGGCTTTGGGCTTAGCAAACACACGACGACGTACATTGCCAACATTGGGCCGGTCAAGACGTTTGGTATATATGCTGCGGTGAGTGCGGCATTCTGCTTGCTGGGGGTTGTCTTGTTCTTCAAGGGGAAGAGGGTGAGAAAACTTTGTGCCCAGATGACGCAGTGAATAAGGTCCGTGATACTACTGGGTAATGGAGGGAGTTCTACGATACTCAGAGCTCTCTACTCCGTAGATGCTCGATACTTCATGTACATATTTGAAATATGCTTCAGAGATCCGAGACAAGAGAAGCGCCTTGAATTTTTGGAGCTTTAAGAAGTACCCACTCGGGGCCACTCGATATGTGGTGATATCTCAAGCAATAGAATGTGAACACCGAAACTGAAATAGAATCTTTGGAACTCTTGAAAGCAGTGTGTCTGAATCAACAAGTCTGGCTATTGGCATGCTCCGAGACAGTGCATGCCTTCTTCCACCTAGGATTCTGAGGTGGATCAACTGGTGTGTTTGCCGATACGAAGGGTAGAATCGTATAGCAGAACATATCGATACACTTGTACCGCTGGTCAGGGATGCAGGAACTCTTGATTCAAAGGAACTCCATTTCCATCTTCCTTAGGTAGATATGGCCTTTCAGTCATTGATGCACTCTTGGTTGGCAGAGGCTGTATGGTCCTTCGTGTCAGAACATGCTTCATGTTCTCGTCTAGACCAGTCGATGACAGTGTCTCCCTGACGAGCGACTGACGACCTATCGGCCAGATTGCTCATCGCAATATATAGTACGTAGGACACTATTTTCTTCCTCCGGCTTTGCGCCATCAATGCTGACCTGTGTGATGAGTAACGGAACGAAAGGCACAAACCACAGAAGAGAATGCCTCAGAGCAGAGACGACTGCAATGCGATACTTTGGAGGATCTTGCATAAAAACAGACTGATAAAGTCATCGTGGATTACAGCCATTGTTGGATGGTGCTCTGTAAACTGATGGGATATGGCAGACGCTGGCGGAGACATAGCTGAGTCAGCACTTTCCCTTAGTCATCAGCCTTATTTTCTGCGGGGAGATTGTTGACATAGCAACGCGCTGCATAAACAGCTAAAGATTACGACCACAACCAATTTATCCCACCATCGCCTGCTTTCCTGCCACACGTCACATGCAATTACGATATTCACAGTAAACCGGGAATCAATCACAGACGGCCGCAACTTCTCAGCAGAACCGAACAGCGAAATCGCCATCCCGAAACAAAACCACTCATCATGTCTTCCGCATTTCGAGAATCGTCGCTGTCCGCCAGCATCAACCGCCAGTCGCTCATGGCGACCCCGTCCGTCGCTGAGACGCTGCCAAACGCCAACTTTGGCTTCGAAGAACTTCGCGATCGCATGACCAAGTTCACCTCGAAGTTTGACGCCTTTATCGAACAGGGTCGCAAGCGCGTATTGGAGGAGCGAAACGAATTCCGCATGAACGTGGCAGAACTACAAGGTGCGTCGGCGGCAAGGGAAGGGAGCACTCGGAATTGGCCTCGAGACATAACAAGGCGGCAAACCGGGCAAGAAGAATAAATGCTAACATACCCTATGACCCGCAGAGGACCAGCGCATGAAGAAGAAGGACATTGAAATCCTCCAACTCAAGACGAGCACCCACCAACAAACCGTAGCCAAAGAAAAGGCCGAGACGCGCGAGATGCAGGCAGCGATCGCGCAGCTCTCGGAAGAGCGCGACAAGCACCTGGCGACGCGGGACGCGCTCAAGAAGCAAATCGAGGAGACGCAAAAAGAGATTGACGCCCGGCTGGCGGCGCAGCGGGCGCACGCGAAGCAGCTCGAGGCGCAGTCGCGCTTCAACGTGCCCGAGCTCGAGTTCTGGCAGCAGAACCTGGGTTTGCGGATCGAGGGCGCGGGCAAGGACGACCGGCTCAAGTTTGTGTACACGTACGTCGACGACCAGGACTGGGAGCGGGAGGCGTGGTTCGAGCTCAACACGGCGAGCCGGGACTACGACGTCAGGCACTGCCGGCCCAAGCTGGAGCGGGAGAGGGTGGAGCGGGTGCTGGACCAGCTTAACGAGACGAGGGAGCTGGCGGTGCTGCTCAAGGGGATGCGCGAGTTGTTCGTGGAGGCGATGAAGGCTTGATGGAGAAGAGGGGGGGAGGCTCCGGGTCTCTGTTTACTGACGAGGCTGATGATCACGATGACAGTTTTCTTTCCGTTCTTCCTTTCTTTCAATGGATACCCACTTTGGCGCAGGTTTACATGTTACACCTATCTACAGGCCTATTGCAAGTATGGAGCAGTCCCAAAGCAGCATTGCATGTGATATGTTTCGCGAGTCTAGAATGCACTTGTCGTTCTCGATCATTGGGGTTTCTTTGTCGATGACTATCCAACGTGTGAAATCGGGAAAACAGCGCTTGAGGAGAGTGATCCTTGTGGTGGCGCATGCATGGTAGTAGAGCTTCAGCCTCTGGGAGTCCAGAATCCCGAGTCCAGACCGTCGAAGCAATGCGAACTTGAGGGCCTTCACAAGTTGCATATATTGGACGGGTCTGTGCACAAGAGTCCCCTATGTGCAGCACTCGATGCACAAAATGGAGGGTATTCTCTCAAGGTCAAGATATACCACCCGGATAACTTGAGAATCTGTACTATGCATGTATGACTTGTGCAATCTCAACACAGTTATCCGTACATTTGTGCACTATGAAATTTAGAACACAGGTAATGGAGAATTCCACCGCTTCACGATAGCAGCAGTGGCAGGTTAGCCTCTCCGCCAGCAAACTGTAAACTTTATTCCAACTAATGCATCCGTTTTGAGTTTCTACTTCTCCTCCTCTTGGTCTCATGTTTCCTTCAGCTACACGTGTACGGAGCACGGTATCACGAGCACAAACTGCAGACCTGCAACCTCTCTCGCGATTCGGGTTCCCAAATAGAACAAAACGAACAAAACCAAAACTTTAGGAATCCTTCAACACAAAGCTGCATCCCGCCAGAAACTGTGAACACACATCCACATCAAGTCTAGACTCCCAGAGCACACACCCTTGTCTGCAGCAGAAATGCCCGAGGCTTAGCTCCATTCTTCACAGTCGACTGAGCCACTCATGACTCGGGATCTCGACCCTCCGAAGCCGTCCAGCAAGATCTGAATGATTCATTATCTCTCCCTCCCATTCGCCTGTTCCCCGTCCCCCTTTCCAAGCCTTTCCAAGGCACAACCTATCCGTACGGTTACCCGATTCCCCCGACCGCGAAAAGAATCATACCATTCCCCCCCCTTCTCGCGTACCACCAAAAAATTCTCCTGCTGCCCAGAGCTCCGCTGTCGCTGCATTGCTGGTCCCTCCTCAGGAAGCCTGTCACCCGTCATTCTGCCGCTCAACCCCTTGTACTGACAGAAAGAGGACGAGAACTGGACTGGTCCGGCAATCGGCAAATGCTCCAAGAGTCTAACGGGCTTCCCAAAGAAAGAAAAAGAGGCCCCGAAAGCAAGGAGGGGCCCGGCCGCAGAAGAAACCAGCAAGGGGCCCGACCATCACCTTGCCAATCCCGGATTCCCAGACAGCTACTCCGCCCATATTCCACTCCGTGCTGATCCACACACTTGACGGTAGTACGGCACGGGTAGGCCTATGCCTCTTGCCCGCTGGCGCTCGATCACGGGCAGCACCGGCTCTCTGACCGAGCCGAGTCTGGGCTGAGGTGGACCTCCGGTGACCCGGCGCCGATACCAGCCCCCCACCCCCCTTCTCTCTTCCCTTCTCCCCTGCCATACCATCCTGCCTCCGCTTCCGCGTCCGCCCCCCACGCTGGCCTTACAAATTCCCATGGCCTCCGATGCCGTCAACCACCCAAGTCCCGCCGGCTCCGTGGCTTCATCGGTGACCCCCGGCCTGAATTACAATAATAATAAGCGTAGTGCTCCGGACCACCCAAGCCCGGCTGGCCCCGGGAATGCCGAAGTTGTCACTCCCGCCGGCGCCGGCACGTCGCCCGCTTCTCAACCACCCGGCGATTCAAACAAGAAACGCCGTGTCGGTCCTGGCTCCAGGGGCGTCGCCAACCTGACGCCGGAGCAACTGGCTAAGAAGCGCGCCAACGGTGAGCACAAACTTCTCTCGCTCACCCACCCACTCATCTCATGCCTCACTGCACACATGACTTTCTCGTACTCCGTGATCTTCACCTTCCGTCCCATTTCCAGCATTCCTTCGAAACTAGTGCTCGCTGTCGTCCTCACCACCCCCTAGTCGCTCACGGCACACCACCCTCGCACACATACATCCTTCTCCACAACATTGACTGGCTCCTCCTCCCCCCTTTCCCACCTCGATGACGACACACCCGCTAACCGAAGTTCCCATCGGCCGCGATCAGACAGGGAAGCCCAGCGAGCCATCCGCGAGCGCACAAAGAACCAGATCGAGAACCTGGAGCGCCGTATCCAGGAGCTGACCTCCCAGCAGCCCTACCAGGAGCTGCAGGCCGTCCAGAGGGCCAAGGAGGCCGTCGAGGCCGAGAACGCGGACCTGAAGCGCCGTCTGGCCACCTTCATCGCCTCTATCCAGCCTCTCATCTCTGCTTCTCCACCGAGCCAACGTAAGTTCGTTATGCTCGGGGCAGACGTATCTTTGACTAACACCATATCAAACTCAGCGCCACCGCCGCCGGCAGACCCGCACCCTGCCGTCTTCCCATCTCCAAGCGGCAGCTACTCTCAGGTCCACCAGCACAACGGGCCCATCTCAGCACACAATGCCTCAACGCCCAACAGTGCGGCCTCCCCGGCCTCCATCGACCCGACCGCCGGCTGGCAAACGACGCCCAACGGCAGCGGTGGTGGTGGAGGAGGAGGTCCTGTCTCGGACCTCTCCCCCCCGAACCACATGTACGCCGCGAGCAAGATGCTCGACCAGCAGCGGCAAGGGCTCCGCCACGGCCTCGACCTCGGCCCGGAGCGTCTCGGTCTAGACTTCCTCCTCCTCGACCAGAACGCCCGCGTCGGCAAGATCCAGAGCGGCGTCAACGGCGCCCAGGACACGCCGAGCTACAACCACGTGCCCATGAAGCACGACTGGACCGGCGTCGGCCCCGTCACACACAGCCGGAGCCCTTCCCTCAGCGGGCCGACCGTCCACACCCCGCGGTCACAGGTCGACTATCCTCAGCAGCAGTCGCAAGGACAGCAACAACAACAACAGCAACAGCCGTCATCCTCCGCGCCCCCAGAATCCCGAGCCCTAGGCCACCACACGGCCGAAGTAAAAAACTGCGGCCCAACCTGCCCCCTCGACAGCCTCCTCCTCGACTTCCTCCACGAGCGCCGCCAACGCGCCGCAGACGGCCTCTCCACCCACGAGATCATCGGCCCGCGCTACCCCTCCGTCCTCTCCCTCCTCAACCCGGCCAACAGCAAATACTCCCACCCGCTCTCCAAAGTCTTCACCGACATCCTCGCCACCTTCCCCGACCTCTCGGCCCTCCCGCAGCGCGTCGCCGTCCTCTACATCATGTTCCTCATCATGCGCTGGCAGATCTCCCCCACCCAAGAAAACTACGACCGCCTGCCCGAGTGGGCGCGCCCTCGCCCCGCGCAGCTGTTCACCGAGCACCCGGCCTGGATCGACCACGTCCCCTTCCCCGCGATGCGCGACAAGCTGTGCCGCGACTATAACCCGCGCGAGTACCTCTTTGACAACTTCTTCGTGCCCTTCACCACGACGCTGAGTCTGAACTGGCCGTACGAGGAGACGGATACGCTGCTGCAGGTGCCGGAGTCGGATGAGGTGCTGATTAACCCCGTATTTGAGCGGCACCTGCGGAGGCTGGAGAATTGGACGTTGGGCCAGGCTTTCAACCAGACGTTTCCTAAGCTGAGGGAGACGTATAATTTGAAGGAGTGAGCTGGGTACGGTTTACGGGACTTGAAAACTATATTGTGGTTCATTCTGGTGCAAGTCTACGAGATGACGAGAGATTACTTCTCGGTCTTAAGGATTATCTTGCTCAACTCTCTTTGCACTTTTCACTCGGTATATACGGGTCTTTCAAGGCTTTTAAGGGAAAGGAGGGAAAATGGTTTCTTTTCCGTGGCGTTCACGTGAGGTATATATCACCAATACGGCGTAGCTTTTTGGCACCAAGCAAAGGCAGTCATCATGAGTCAAGCCATATTGCTTGGCTTGCCTTTTCTATCTCACCAGGGAATGAGGTTAAGGAAGGGGGGGCTTTTCGAGGTACAAACTACGGCGTATGGGAGGTGGATTGGAAAAATTAACACGGCATCCTTATCTTCCACATGTACACAGCTGCTCAATCTATGGGAGACGTTCATCAATCGTAGCTCTTGTTACCTTTCTTCGTGTTGATGTTGTGTTCGTACCCCAGGACCTTTCGAGTATGACTCCCGTAGTGGCTGACATTCAGGATATGACAGAAGGCTTCTGGTATGGATCCTAGTCGAATTCAGGGGGGGTGGTGGTGTTGTTTTCGTGGGCTGTCGCTCGACGAGGTTTCACTTCTTCTCTTCTCATGCCTCAATAGACGCCGTCCTTCACTGAACAGTCGAGGCCGAGGGGTATAGGGGGTCGGTCTCGCTTGCGGCTATTTCTTTCCCACCGGTCCATCGTCTTCTACATTGCTGTTTCTTTATGCCGCAATATCGCGGGGCCGGGTCTTGTTGTTCTTTTCAGAGGCAGTTATACTGACATCACATACAATACAGCTTGAGACACACAGACCAAGAGCGAACTTGGACTCATTACAGGCCGGTAAATTAAACATCCAGAACTCAGATACTAATCGTCCATCTGTTCTTGAGAAGAAGCAGACAATTCAACAATGAGGACCCTATGCAACTGAAGCCGAAATGCAACAAAACACCACCAACTTTCCACCAATGCCATCGACAAGCACACATATCAGAGCACATACATCGAAAACACACATCTTCACAGTAGTAAAGCTTATCTTCCTCCTAAGACATCCATAGCTTTGTGTATGATTAGTGAATCATGCCTAGGAGATCGTCTTATGGAAGCGGATCCCTGCTCTCATAGAGCTCAACTGGTGCGGAATCACACACGGTCTATACTAAGAACCCCCGTTATTCACAATCCGTATAGAGGCTGCAGACCTCCACGAGCAATCCCTTTCTCTGCTCCTCAAGCACTTCCTCCTTGACTCTTTCCTTGAGTAATTCCATGACTGTCAAAAACTCTTTGTGGACCAAGAGACCCTTTCAACCATCTTCTCTTCCTACGCAGCAAAAACACCAACAAAGAAGGGTCATCGCCCTCTCCTAGGTAAGTCTCCCACCAGCTCCAAATCCCCATCCCCTGACCTCTCCCCTCTCGACAGACAAGAGACCAACAAACAAAACATAGAGACTATTCTAACCATCTCAAAAAACTCCAGAGCAAAACCAACCATGGCAGAAGAACCCACAATCGTCCTAGAGACACACATCTACTCGAACCCGGCAACCCTCTCCTTCTCGCCAGGCTGGACCAGAAGCTTCCACCTCCGCCTCTCCCCCTCGACAGCCACGAAATCCCAACTCCTCTCCCTCGTCCGCGCCTCCATCGCCCGCCTAGGCCGCGCAGACCCCATCGTCGAGGCGCAAATCACGCTCTACTGGACCTCCCGCACCGGCCGCGTCGTGTCAATCCCTGGCGACGGCGGCGGCGGCGGCAGCATGGCCACGGTCACGATGCCCGTGTGGCAGCAGCAGCCTCCTCCCCACCTAATGACCTTCAACGTCGGATACCCCGCGCTCGTACAGCCTCCTCAGCCGCTGCCGCCGACGATGATGGATCCGCCGATGCCCATGGCCATGACATACTCCAGCGGCGTAAACTACCTCCACCCCTACGGCAACCCTGTTATGCAGCAGCAGCCTGCGTACCCGGCCATCTTCCCCGCAGGACAGCAGGCTTGGATCATGGGAGGCGGTCCGCCCCAGCTCAGCTTCGTCAACGTTAACGTGCCCACCTCTAACATCGGTGCTAGTGCTAGTGGTAAACCCGTGATCTCAGACGTCATAAGAGAAGCCCGGCTCGACACAATCGCCGAGGGTGCGCTGGGCGGGATGCTGGAGTGGGTTTGTGGACCTACGGGGCTCAAGTTGATTGTCGTGGTTGACGTCGACGGGAGGGACGTTGTGCCCGTTGTTGTTTCTGCTGCTCCTGTTGCGGCTGCGGCTGTCGCCGAGACTCCTCCCACGCCTGTGGCGGCTTCCCATTCTTCTTCCCCTGCAGCTGCCACGCCCGTCGCTCCGGCTTCGCCCACCTCCGCGCCGGCCTCGCCTGGCCCTGCTACACCTCCTCCTCCTCCGGCGACTTCCTAAGGGTGGGAAACGGGTATCTTGGCTTTTACACACTAGGAAGCGGTCAAGGGGGTGATGATGATAGGTAATAGCATGGAAAAAAAAATGAACTCGTTGCCAAGTATGTAGTAGAATCTCGTGCATGACGAACCCATATTGATCCCCGGAGGAAAGCAAGTGTGATTATCAAAGAAGGTTTGTACCTCAAGTAGCTGAACTCCGAAGGCTACTCCAAAGGTAGAGAAAGACCAAGTGAAAAAGTATAACCCAATGGTTCAAAAGTCGGTCAGATTCAAATCGTAGCTTGGAAGGGGAAAACAAATAGAGGGTCTCGGGAAGGTACCCGGCGCCGACTATCCGTCGACATTGACATCTCTCAGTCATGTCGATGTAGGAAGATCGGATTCCTGAGCTGGCGAGCAAGCTTCCTTACCAAGGTATACCGTATCCTACATTGCAGGTAATTGGGCTGTACCGTATGGACCAAGCTCGACATGTTTGTTCCATCGTCGACATGATCGCCCCTGACTTCACCTAAACCATCGGCAATAACGCCTCAAGAGACCATCAACATAATGTGTTCAACAGCTGTTCTGACGGCTGCTCTAAAAGAAGTACCACGAAGGCCGTGTCCATGTTAGCCGGTAATCTGGGAGCTCGTTGTCCTATCCAACTCTCCACCTCACTTCAACACTCATCATCAACCCCCAAAGCCCCAACCGAAAACATCTTCAAATTCGGGCCCACGCCCGCAAACAAACTCGCGTGCCGGCGCCCAGGCATCCTCTGAAACTGGCAACTCTTCACCGGCGTCCTCGCCTTGACGGTATCCACAGCAGGACACCGCAACCTCCGCCCAGATAGCAGCGAATACATTCCCACCCGCCCATCATCGTGCGCGGCGGCAACAACGCCCGAGTCGACATCAACATCCCACCCGAAATGCATGTGCGCCTCGTTCCGGAAACCCGGGAACTCCACAACCGGCCTCGTCCCGTTGGGTCTTGTCTTACGGTACCGGAGATCGAACAGTGCCATCTTGGATCTCGGCCCCGCGGCGAGGAACTGGTGCGGGTTCACGGCGCGCAGGTGGGCCGTGGCGCCGACGGGGATGTTATCCCACTCGGACCACTTCACGCGCAGGTCAATCAGCCTGACGTCACGGTTGCGGCCGCCGGCGAGGAGGACGTTTGGGTTGGAGGGGAGGAAGGTCTGGTCGAAGAAGTCGCCTTCCGCTGGGCCCGGGCGAGGGCGCGGCGGGCCGAGCCAGTGGATGCGCTCGTCCGAGGTGAGCTTGAGGAGGCCGTATGAGGTGCCGATGATGCAGTTTAGGGAGGAGGAAGAGGGCGGCGCGGGCGTTGTTTGGTTTACGACGCCTTCGCGACGGCCTGTGTTGAAGGAGATGTGGCGGAGGTTGTTTGCTACACGTGGTCTGCGTTAGAAAGAAAGGGGTCAAAGGGGAAGGGAAGCATTACCTCTGTCAAGTAACCAGAGAGGTCGGTCATCATTGGGAGCGGATTTAGGGGGGGAAAAGAGGTAGATGTCGCACGTGTTACTTGGCTCGCGGGATGTAACCATTATGCGATGCGAGTGTGGATGATAGTTGATGGATGAGATCTGGGGACAACCTATCATCTCGTGACGATGTGACAGTCGGCGTTCAGGACGGCTCGAGGCATCGGTGCTAAAGGATATCCTGCTTTCATCAGTTTCTGTTCTGAGCCGCACAGATGTGTTGGTAGCTCACCTGTCATTGTCATCCGTAGGGATATATGATCCTATCAAAGTCTCCTCGTCCAATGCTATCAAAGTCAAAACACAAAATCGCAGTCGCAATCTCGGAAGGACCTCAAACTCACTTGCATACGCAATACCAAGCCCTGTCTTTTCATCATCGCCGCCAACATAGAAACAAGGGATATTCGGGAAACTCTGCCTCGCAAAGCTGGGCACGAACGGCACCTCGCCCTTGTCGACGAGCCCCCGGACCCATGCCGCCGCAGGAACATCCTCGACGCCGAACGCACCATCGACGCGCAGCCTCGCCCTCTCCTCACGACGCACGCCGAGCTCGACGTCCAAGACGCCGCCGATGAGCGGGGCCCGTAGCGCGGCGGATCGGACAATGTGCCGCTTCAGCCGCTCCCGGCGGGCGGCGACGGCCTCTGCCCCGCGGTGCTGAATCTTCCGGCGCTTGACATTGTCGGCGGACCAGGCGGCGGTCTGCGGTGCCGAGGCGCCCTTTTCGATTTTGAAATATTTGCCCTTTTCCTCATCTAGAATGGAATTTTTCCCAAATCAGCCGGCCGGTCAATGAAGGGTACGGTTCAAGTGAAAGACAGACTGAGTGGTCAAAGGAAGGTTGAAAGAACGAAGACAGATAGAGTGGTGTAAGACTTGAGGAGGGCGTGTAAGTAGTACCGTAGTAATACCCGGGGATTTGCATTCGCGGCTGAGGTGCCATGATGGTTTTCCGTCCGGGGTTCGGTCCGCCGCGATGGCTACGCGGTCTCGGCTCCGAGGCAACAGTAGAAAGCCTGTCTTGGGTAGGGATCCAACAAGATGAGAGGTCGAGCCTCGAGGTGGTTGGAAAGGCCAAGAAATCCCAGATATTTGGAAGATGGGCTGTCCCAAAGGGGAAAAGGATAAAGAAGAATTATCGGCACTAGCTCCGTCTCGGACTCAAGATCTAGACAAGGCTCAAGGCACAGTCGAACTGACTATCCAAGAACACTGTGGGCGATGCTCCTGCTTGCGGGATGGTGTGCTTTGTTCGTGGCGGGAGTGGGTGTAAGTGGTCAATCTGCACGTGTGTTGGGGGGCAGATGTGGATGGTCCGGGGAGGGGGGTGGTTCAGATATGCGGGATGGAATTATGCATGAGAAACACCGGTACAATATCGTATCGTCGTGACGATGACAAAGAGGATTGGATATTGCGAGTTGGTGATGGGCTTGGTTGGTTGTGTGGGCTGGGTCAAGGGTTGACGATGGCGTCGGTGGCGCCGAGTATCAGTGTGAAGCAGTTCCTTTCCCCGACAGAAAGCAGGCGGAATGGAGGGCGGAAGCAAAGAGGGAAAAAAAAAAAGATGGAAAAGAGTGGGGGGTGGGAGGCGTGCGTTTGTCGTCCGGAGCCGGCAGAAGGAACCCACTTTCGCGGTGAATACGCCGTTCCTTCCATCCTCTCAGAGTGGCAGCGTCAGGTCGTTTGGTGTGTCACACCGCATGATAGAGGACACTAACCTCGCTGGTTCTGCGGTGTAATCACTGAAGCCGCAGTGGACTCGAGGCAAGCTAAGGCGCTAGATTCGACACCCCACCCTCCCAAATGCCGCCGCCGCCGTGTGCGGGGAGGACCGATTCAATGCTTCAACCACCTCATCCACCACCACTACCTGCTGGTAAAAGGGCAGAAATTTACAGCGAGATTTGACGCTAAGGTAAGATAGCTTCACCATTACCTTAGGTTGTATATGTCCGCGGCTGATCTGGCCCATCAATCGCTAGAATCGTCGGCCGGCGTCAAGCTCCTCGGACACTCCAACACATGCAGCCTGGGAGTACGTGGTTGAGCTTGTAGCCCCCGGCGAAAATAACGGCTGAACCGATGACTTGGCAATTCTTGACACCATCCTCTAGTACGTTGAGTCCAAGATATTCTATCCAAGGTACCACCACCACAAAAAAAAAAGCTTGGCCATGCGTGTCGTATACTGAACTAAGGTACCTGACCTGCCTCCCTCAGACGGCTCCTCCGATTGAGGGGGAGGAAGCTGCTCGCCTCGTAGTCCGATATACCGCGTCTTAGCTGGCTCGGGACCGTGTTAGTTGCTGTGCTCAGCGATGGCAAAGGTTTACCAGCAGCGTTCCATTGACTGATGCTATACGGTCCCATGTCTTGCCTCTACACAGACTCCAACAAGAGAGACGGGGCAGTCTTAAGCATACCACGATTGAATCGAGGGGGCAGTATCTCAATCTCACTAGACAATCTTTTCACGGTGTCGATTGAGTCTCTGCTCATGTTCTGTAACCGTGACCTCTAATTGATATCGCCTCGTATCCAATTGAACCTGAACCTGAACCATCGTGAAGTCGCTAATCCCACTCAACAACGCAGACTGAGCGAATGCCCTTACCTCAGCAGCAAGCAATTGGCACAGCTACTTATAGACTAAACCAAGCATCCAAATCCAACGTCCACCACACGCTCGACAAAGCATCGCTATGTATGTTCAACGATAAGTACGGATCTCCATGCGGTACTAACAGCACCTCTCTCTCCACTCAAAAGGCCCCATCAGCTCCAGCTCCAGCCAGCTGCACCCCCCCCCCCCCCCCCCCCCCCCCCCCCCCCCCCCCCCCCCCCCCCCCCCCCCCCCCCCCCCCCCCCCCCCCCCCCCCCCCCCCCCCCCCCCCCCCCCCCCCCCCCCCCCCCCCCCCCCCCCCCCCCCCCCTCCAAAACCTTGCCCCTCCAACCCCTCACCTCCCAAATCCAGATAGCTACCCCCTCCAAGCTCCATCTCCCTCTCCCTCTCAACATCCTTCCAAGCATCATCACCACACGCAACTCGAAAGCTCCCCTCGAAGCAATTGCCCTCCATAAAACTACCTCCGACATCACACATACCTACCCACCTCACCAAGAAGCCCAACATGGTCTACACCCTCACCGTCCACCTCCACGCAAACGACCACCCGGACTCGGTCGAACGCATAAAGGCAAAGCTCATCGAGGCCTCGCGCGTCTACTCAAAGGACCGCGAGACCGTCAGCTGGTTCGTCATGCAGGACGTCCACGACCCCAGGTCCTTTACCATTGTTGAGCGCTTCGAGACGGAATATGTAAGGATCCCCACGCATACACACACACATACACCAACTTGGAAAAGCCTCGCAACGCCAGCACTCCCTCCCTCCCTTCACTTTCAGTGTCCTATGCTTGACAGATTCGCTGATCCGTTATCCTCCCCCCGTGCAGAGCCAAAAGTACCACCTCGAGAACCCTTACTGGAAGACCTT